AGAACTGAACTAGAACTGAACTAGAACTGAACTAGAGCTGAACTAGAGCTGAACTAGAACTGAACTAGAACTGAACTAGAACTGAACTAGAACTGAACTAGAACTGAACTAGAACTGAACTAGAACTGAACTAGAACTGAACTAGAACTGAACTAGAACTGAACTAGAACTGAACTAGAACTGAACTAGAGCTGAACTAGAACTGAACTGAACTAGAGCTGAACTAGAACTGAACTAGAACTGAACTAGAACTGAACTAGAACTGAACTAGAACTGAACTAGAACTGAACTAGAACTGAACTAGAACTGAACTAGAACTGAACTAGAACTGAACTAGAACTGAACTAGAACTGAACTAGAACTGAACTAGAACTGAACTAGAACTGAACTAGAACTGAACTAGAACTGAACTAGAACTGAACTAGAACTGAACTAGAACTGAACTAGAACTGAACTAGAACTGAACTAGAACTGAACTAGAACTGAACTAGAACTGAACTAGAACTGAACTAGAGCTGAACTAGAACTGAACTGAACTAGAGCTGAACTAGAACTGAACTAGAACTGAACTAGAACTGAACTAGAACTGAACTAGAACTGAACTAAACTGAACTAGAACTGAACTAGAACTGAACTAGAACTGAACTAGAACTGAACTAGAACTGAACTAGAACTGAACTAGAACTGAACTAGAACTGAACTAGAACTGAACTAGAACTGAACTAGAACGAACTAGAACTGAACTAGAACTGAACTAGAACTGAACTAGAACTGAACTAGAACTGAACTAGAACTGAACTAGAACTGAACTAGAACTGAACTAGAACTGAACTAGAACTGAACTAGAACTGAACTAGAACTGAACTAGAAACTGAACTAGAACTGAACTAGAACTGAACTAGAACTGAACTAGAACTGAACTAGAACTGAACTAGAACTGAACTAGAACTGAACTAGAACTGAACTAGAACTGAACTAGAACTGAACTAGAACTGAACTAGAACTGAACTGAAACTAGAACTGAACTAGAACTGAACTAGAACTGAACTAGAACTGAACTAGAACTGAACTAGAACTGAACTAGAACTGAACTAGAACTGAACTAGAACTGAACTAGAACTGAACTAGAACTGAACTAGAACTGAAACTACTGAACTATAACTGAACTAGAACTGAACTAGAACTGAACTAGAACTGAACTAGAACTGAACTAGAACTGAACTAGAACTGAACTAGACTGAACTAGAACTGAACTAGAACTGAACTAGAACTGAACTAGAACTGAACTAGAACTGAACTAGAACTGAACTAGAACTGAACTAGAACTGAACTAGAACTGAACTAGAACTGAACTAGAACTGAACTAGAACTGAACTAGAACTGAACTAGAACTGAACTAGAACTGAACTAGAACTGAGCTAGAACTGAACTAGAACTGAACTAGAACTGAACTAGAACTGAACTAGAACTGAACTAGAACTGAACTAGAACTGAACTAGAACTGAACTAGAACTGAACTAGAACTGAACTAGAACTGAACTAGAACTGAACTAGAACTGAACTAGAACTGAACTAGAACTGAACTAGAACTGAACTAGAACTGAACTAGAACTGAACTAGAACTGAACTAGAACTGAACTAGAACTGAACTAGAACTGAACTAGAACTGAACTGAACTGAACTAGAACTGAACTAGAACTGAACTAGAACTGAACTAGAACTGACTAAACTGAACTAGAACTGAACTAGAACTGAACTAGAACTGAACTAGAACTGAACTAATCTTTGGGATCTTTAAATGTTTCAAAGAAAATTTATCTCTTTACTAATTTTGAGAATTTTGACAAATTTCTATTTCTATGTACTGTTTATCATAATCTAAGGAAATCCAAACAAAATTCCATTAAATCTCTAGCCAAAATCTTATAATTCTTTATAACTTTGAATCTTTGCTCTAGAAAACTTTAACTAAAATATTTAACAGCTTTGTTTTGTTTGAAAAAAAAAAAATAAAACGTTTTTTAGTCGCACGATTCAGTTGTTATAAATAGATTTGTAAATTAAATTCAAATTAACGAATAAATCACGTAATTGTTTAATTGTTAAATTTACATTCATTACAAAATATTTAAATAAATAAATAACTAACAATAGTTTATTAAACAATTAATAGAAAACAATAATTATTGGCTTTAAAAATTTGCATATCAATTAACAATTTTAGTTAGAAACCGCAAACCATTGACCCATTGAAATAGATATTAAACGAAATTAGGGGACTGAAGATTTAAAAAGTAAATTCTAAATTAAATTTAAATCAGTATTGAGAAGCAGTAAACCAGTTATAATCTGATAAGTAGATTAGATTTCTATTGTTTAAAATAATAGCCGCAAGGTGTCACAACATTCACTCCCAACCAATCGTAATTGTTTTAAGAATTTTAATTTATTTATATTTTTATATTGTTTGCTAAATATAAAACAGATCATTAAGCGTTTAAAAACACACCGACAATATATAAATTAAATATTTATTTTAAACAATTTAATGAATGAATTTTTTTGTGAAATAAAAACACGATTTTTTTTCTAAAAAAAAACAGTCAATAAGTGATTAAACTGTTAACACAGCAATCATAAAGAAATAATTAATCAATTATAACGTTTTTTAAGTCAAGGAATTTGAGGTTTCAAATAACAGCTGCTGTAATTACAAAAGAATTCGTTGAATATTTTTTTTTAATTAGTTCAACTATTTATTACACATGTAAGAATTTAAAAGAGTAGGCTTTTAATTTATTCATATATATTTTTGGACGAGGTGTTTTTTTGTAATTTTTAACCTTATTATTATTTATAATTTAGAAATGTTTCAATATTTTTTGCATATTATATTAATTATAAAGCTTGTCTAATTATGCCCTTTTGAAATTTTTGGTTAAAATTAGATTTTTTCTGTGGGCTTTAGTATTTATTGTTATTTGAGCTTAAAAATAGTTTATTTTCGTAGGCTGTTTCAATATTTTTGTTCTTTTAAATGTAAATTTATGTAAATGTAAAAAATTCTAAATTTTTTAAATGTTTTAAGAAAAATTGATAAGAGTTTAGCAACAAGTATTTACACTCACAGTAGAAATATAAAATATTTGTTATTGGACTGTTTAAAACTGAACTATCAGTGAACTTACACTTAAGTAGATCTCAACAAAAACTGAACTAGAATTCAACTAGAACTGAACTAGAACTGAACTAGAACTGAACTAGAACTGAACTAGAACTGAACTAGAACTGAACTAGAACTGAACTAGAACTGAACTAGAACTGAACTAGAACTGAACTAGAACTGAACTAGAACTGAACTAGAACTGAACTAGAACTGAACTAGAACTGAACTAGAACTGAACTAGAACTGAACTAGAACTGAACTAGAACTGAACTAGAACTGAACTAGAACTGAACTAGAACTGAACTAGAACTGAACTAGAACTAAACTAGAACTGAACTAGAACTGACTAGAACTGAACTGAACTGAACTAGAACTGAACTAGAACTGAACTAGAACTGAACTAGAACTGACTAGAACTGAACTAGAACTGAACTAGAACTGAACTAAACTGAACTAGAACTGAACTAGAACTGAACTAGAACTGAACTAGAACTGAACTAGAACTGAACTAGAACTGAACTAGAACTGAACTAGAACTGAACTAGAACTGAACTAGAACTGAACTAGAACTGAACTAGAACTGAACTAGAACTGAACTAGAACTGAACTAGAACTGAACTAGAACTGAACTAGAACTGAACTAGAACTGAACTAGAACTGAACTAGAACTGAACTAGAACTGAACTAGAACTGAACTAGAAACTGAACTAGAACTGAACTAGAACTGAACTAGAACTGAACTAGAACTGAACTAGAACTGAACTAGAACTGAACTAGACTGAACTAGAACTGAACTAGAACTGAACTAGAACTGAACTAGAACTGAACTAGAACTGAACTAGAACTGAACTAAACTGAACTAAACTGAACTAGAACTGAACTAGAACTGACTAGAACTGAACTAGAACTGAACTAGAACTGAACTAGAACTGAACTAGAACTGAACTAGAACTGAACTGGAACTGAACTAGAACTGAACTAGAACTGAACTAGAACTGAACTAGACTGAACTAGAACTGAACTAGAACTGAACTAGAACTGAACTAGAACTGAACTAGAACTGAACTAGAACTGCTAGCTGAACTAGAACTGAACTAGAACTGAACTAGAACTGAACTATAACTGAACTAGAACTGAACTAGAACTGAAATAACTGAACTAGAACTGAACTAGAACTGAACTAGAACTGAACTAGAACTGAACTAGAACTGAACTAAAACTGAACTAGAACTGAACTAGAACTGAACTAGAACTGACTAGAACTGAACTAGAACTGAACTAACTGAACTAGAACTGAACTAGAACTGAACTAGAACTGAACTAGAACTGAACTAGAACTGAACTAGAACTGAACTAGAACTGAACTTGAACTGAACTTGAACTGAACTGGAACCGAACTTGAACTAATTAAGAAACTTTCAATATCATTTTGCTGAGAGTTTTTTTCTAGGATTAGGAATACATCTTAATCATTCAGATTATAATCTATAGGCGAGCGTGATATTGATCGTTACAAGATTGAATTAATGTGGGAATATGTTTAGTTTTTTCCGAAAAATTTCACTGTGCGCTATTGATTAGCTCTTAATTGAATAACATTTAAATTTACTACATTTTGTTCACTTTTCTTAAGCATTTTTTCTAAAAAGTACTATATGTTTTTCATAAACATTGTTTTATTGTTAGTCAAATGTTTATTTCTAATTATATATTCCCATGTGATAGGTATTTAAAATATAAATTACTATTTTCTCATCACCATTAACATTGCAAAAACAATAAGTGCATATGTATGTAAATATTTACATGTATACAAACATTAAACGATACTTACATCATCAAATTCACTTTGAAACGGTCCCATGGGATTGTAGTAGTTTGAAAAATTTCTGTAAACGTTTCGATTTGTGTGGCAAGACTGGTTGTGCATATGCCAAACAATATTGTCCCTTGATTTCATCACCACCATCACCATCAATTATTGCCTCAACATCAGCATTATTAGCATCAGCATTAGCTCCAGCTTTATTCCCGCTTTTAGCTGCTTTCATTTGATACTTGATTCTCATACATTGATCAAAATCACCAGGCTGATTTATGTTGCCATTAAGTATGCCCGATGTAAATTTACCAGTGGAATCGTGCACTGTAAATGGGGAGAAAAATTTACAACAATGGAAATTAGTATATTAATACAAAAAAAGAGAAAAAATAAAATGCATATAAAAAGAAAATTACAAAGAAAAAAATAATAAAAAATTGCATTAACATAATTTCGAAATTATGGGATCGGTCTTTGTAATGAAAATGAAATTTGTTTCTTTGCCTGAAAAAAAGAAACGTTCATTTCTTAAGTCTTTCTGTTGTGCAAACAAGTGCAGCAAACAAAAGACTTAAACAGCAAACTTGATCAATATAGTGCAGACAACAATGGACAAAATCATTTTGGAAATTGTAATAAAATTGAAAATATACAAAAGTAAATATAAAAATTCCGTTAAAATACTTCCACATTTTAAAAAAAATTTTAATGTTATGGATTTAATTGTTTAATAAATTCCCGGCCCTTTATTAAAATTTGATTAACACAACTTATTTATTATTTAACTATCAGACAGCCCACTCAAATATTTTTCAACTCTTATTTACATTTTATTTATTCAAAATCTACTAGTTTTTCTCAAAAATTACCTAAAAACTAACGCTATTCAAGTGTAACTAAATAAACTTTAAAATTTTGTTTGTGCTGCACTGGCAAGTTAGCGGGCAATGTCAAGGTCACTATCATCCACAACACTGGCATCTTAAAAAGCTTCCGCTTGTTTCCAATCCACTGAACAGATGTTTGACTAACAAACTAACTGTGAATGTGACTGGTTCATTAAATTGTCTAAAAAAGTGTGAAATGCTAATAAATAACATTTAATGATGTTAATATAAACGAAAAAAAATTACTTTTTTTGTAAAAATAAATTAATTTATTTAAATTGTACATTCGTGTTAAAAAATTAAAATACAGTTTGTAGGCTGTGTTTTGTTTTAGTTTTTAATCATATAAGCACCATATTATGGTAATTATGTTTGTGGGTCAAAAGTTATTGACTTATCGAATTTTTATATTTTCATATAAGTAATATTTATTTAATATTGATTATAGTAGTATTGATTATGCTCTCTTTTTATGTCAACCAAAAAATACGAAACATATTAGAAAAACGTCTTATATAAACCAGACTGACTAGACTGAACTAGAACTGAGCTAGACTGAACTAGAAACTGAACGAGAACTGAACTAGAACTGAAGTAGAACTGAACTAGAACTGAACTAGAACTGAGCTAGAACTGAACTAGAACTGAAGTAGAACTGAACTAGAACTGAACTAGAACTGAACTAGAACTGAACTAGAACTGAACTAGAACTGAGAACTAAACTGAACTAGAACTGAACTAGAACTGAACTAGAACTGAACTAGACTAACTGAACTAGAACTGACTAGACACTGAACTAGAACTGAACTAGAACTGAACTAGAACTGACTAAACTAACTAGACTGAAACTAGAACTGAACTAGAACTGAACTAGAAACTGAACTAGAACTGAAACTAGAACTGAACTAGAACTGAACTAGAAACTGAACTAGAACTGAACTAGAACTGAACTAGAACTGAACTAGAACTGAACTAGAACTGAACTAGAACTGAACTAGAACTGAACTAGAACTGAACTAGAACTGAACTAGAACTGAACTAGAACTGAACTAGAACTGAACGAGAACTGAACTAGAACTGAACTAGAACTGAACTAGAACTGAACTAGAACTGAACTAGAACTGAAACTAGAACTGAAACTAGAACTGAACTAGAACTGAACTAGAACTGAACTAGAACTGAACTAGAACTGAACTAGAACTGAACTAGAACGAACTAGAACTGAACTAGAACTGAACTAGAACTGAACTAGAACTGAACTAGAAACTGAACTAGAACTGACTAGAACTGAACTAGAACTGAACTAGAACTGAACTAGAACTGAACTAGAACTGAACTAGAACTGAACTAGAACTGAACTAGAACTGAACTAGACTGAACTAGAACTGAACTAGAACTGAACTAGAACTGAACTAGAAACTGAACTAGAACTGAACTAGAACTGAACTAGAACTGAACTAGAACTGAACTAGAACTGAACTAGAACTGAACTAGAACTGAACTAGAAACTGAACTAGAACTGAACTAGAACTGAACTAGAACTGAACTAGAACTGAACTAGAACTGAACTAGAACTGAACTAGAACTGAACTAGAACTGAACTAGAACTGAAACTAGAACTGAACTAGAACTGAACTAGAACTGACTAGAACTGAACTAGAACTGAACTAGAACTGAACTAGAACTGAACTAGAACTGAACTAGAACTGAACTAGAAACTGAACTAGAACTGAACTAGAACTGAACTAGAACTGAACTAGAACTGAACTAGAACTGAACTAGACTGAACTAGAACTGAACTAGAACTGAACTAGAACTGAACTAGAACTGAACTAGAACTGAGCTAGAACTGAACTAGAACTGAACTAGAACTGAACTAGAACTGAACTAGAACTGAACTAGAACTGAACTAGAACTGAACTAGAACTGAACTAGAACTGAACTAGAACTGAACTAGAACTGACTAGAACTGAACTAGAACTGAAACTAGAACTGAACTAGAACTGAACTAGAACTGAACTAGAACTGAACTAGAACTGAACTAGAACTGAACTAGAACTGAACTAGAACTGAACTAGAACTGAACTAGAACTGACAGAACTGAACTAGAACTGAACTAGAACTGAACTAGAACTGAACTAGAACTGAACTAGAACTGAACTAGAACTGAACTAGAACTGAACTAGAACTGAACTAGAACTGAACTAGAACTGAACTAGAACTGAACTAGAACTGAACTAGAACTGAACTAGAACTGAACTAGAACTGAACTAGAACTGAACTAGAACTGAACTAGAACTGAACTAGACACTGAACTAGAACTGAACTAGAACTGAACTAGAACTGAACTAGAACTGAACTAGAACTGAACTAGAACTGAACTAGAACTGAACTAGAACTGAACTAGAACTGAACTAGAACTTGAACTAGAACTGAACTAGAACTGACTGAACTGAACTAGAACTGAACTAGAACTGAACTACGAACTAAACTGAACTAGAACTGAACTAGAACGAACTAGAACTGAACTAGAAACTGAACTAGAACTGAACTAGAAACTGAACTAGAACTGAACTAGAACTGAACTAGAACTGAACTAGAACTGAACTAGAACTGAACTAGAACTGAATTAGAACTGAACTAGAACTGAACTAGAACTGAACTAGAACTGAACTAGAACTGAAATAGAACTGAACTAGAACTGAACTAGAACTGAACTAAAACTAAACTACAATTGAATTAGAACTGAATTAGATCTTAACTGATTCATGAAAAAACCATAGCTTGAAGTTTAAATATTTCCTTAAAAATTTCAAAGAATTACGTTTAATTCTTGAAATCGAAATTAAGTTCATCTACGTGTAACTTTGCTTAATGTCCATTTAATTTCAAAATGATTTGAAAGTAACTTTTAAAGAGATATAAATCAATGTATATAATTAAAAAATGTATGCTTAAGAATATTTATTCATTTGTTAAAGTTCTAAAGTAACAACTTTACGCCTATTTAATTGCATTAACCTTGAAGCAAGATTCTACTATTAGAATTAAAAAACAATAATTTTTCTTGTAGATTTTTGTTCAAATAAAAAGCATGTAATTTCTGTCGCTCACAACAACCTTGATCATGAGTTTTCCAAATTCTAAGTACAAAAATTTAATATATACATAATTATGTATTTGAAAAAATAAAAACAATATAACAAGTTTTCTGAAAAAAAAAAACAAAAAATCTTGCAACAAACATATTCAAGTTTCAAGTTGTGGTTGAGTTCAAGTGTTCAAACATGCGAAATTCGAATTTCGATTGAAGTACAACACACTCACACAAACAAACTTACATTAAGATCGAAGAACCACATAGATTCTAAACTTAGCAAAAAATAGTTTTTCAGTGCTTGTTGTTTGATTTTAAAAACATTGAAACTTGATCAGTTGTATGAAACTTCTCACAAATTAATACATATTGATCTTGTGACTGCTCCTTCCCCCTCTGCAACAAATTAACAAGTTTCAAATCGACATTTGGGTGTTTGAATATAATATTGAATGCATGTGGCTGAGTGAGAATTTGCCAATGTTAGGGTTACTTTACGGGTCAAGAAAAATGTTGCATGACTAAGACTGAATATACAACGGACCGATCGACAGACAGTCAGACCGACGGTGTTTGTATAGTGTTGTGTCAAGTTTTCGTAGCATATAAAAGTGGTTGTCATTGCAAACATGCAACCTATGCATGTATTGGTAGTACATATGTATAGTAAATGGTGTTTTGCTTTTTGTATTTTGAACAACATGTGTCTAAAGTTGGCAAGCGGTTTAAAAAAAATTTAAAAATTTTAAACGAAAAAACTGCAGCAGTTGCATTTTATATTTGTAAAACAAAAAAATATCATATAGAAGTATTTTAGTTTCAGTTTTTTTTTATAAATTACAATTAAATAAATCTAGGTAAAGTTCGTTAAATGACCTTCACAATTATTATTGTAGTTACAATTCCAAAGAATTATATGAAGAATATTATTGCAAGTGTTTCACATCAAAGTTTCAGATTGACTTTGACTTTTAGGATTTTGTTTAAGGCATTAACTAGATCTTTGTAGTTTGTATATTATTTTAAATGTCCAAAGTGTGTTTTTTCTTAGACTGATTAATTGCCTTTCTTAATTCTGAAATTTCGATTATTGAAACTTGATTTTAATTTAACTTCTGCATAAAAATGCTTTTAAAATGTTAAAGTGTCTAAAGAACAAGCTAAAAATGCTTGAGGGATTTCGATAATTCTAGAATATTAAGAAAAATTTAAAAATGTATACATTTCAGGTTGCATTTTTAAAATTTGATAAAAAATTAAAATATTTGCTAAAATTAAAAAAATATTAAAAAAAAAAAAAAAATATATTTCAAATATACAAATTCATTTCAGTTCGCTAA